GCTCTCAAATAGAAGATAATTGTAAGTAAGGTGCACCTTTACGCTGAAGGCATTTTCTTAAACACTTTTTTTAGTGATTCCTCTTAGAGAGTTTCATAGAGAAGGGAATTCCTAGAAGCATGAGAGAACAAAATGTGGACACAAACTCTGATGTGACAATAGAAAAAAATTCTTGAGGAAGGGGTCACATACCACTCCTTCAATATGGTATGAAAAATATTCTTGTGATCTTTTGCAAGATCCAAAAAGCACAATGAAAAATCAGACAAAGCAAAGATGAGGCACACTGGGCATAATGTCTTAAAATGCTCTAACAAACAGTGCATCCTGAACAAGGTTGACAAAGCACTTACAGGGGTAGATGTCCAACAGAGCTGGGACAGGATGGCAGGCTCCCCGTGGTTAAGACCTGTCTCCACCATGGCTACTCACAGTACAGAGTATGCTCAGAGGAATAAGGGATACAATATGTGGGATGTCCAATGTGAAAGAAATGGTGGATATTCTCTGGGATTTACTGACAGATTGTTTTGAGCTATTCTCTGCCATTCCCTGATGATTTACATTACCAAGGCATTGAGAAAAGCCTTAAATCCCTTTTTTCTATGGTGATCTTCACCACAAGACAATCAGTTCCCATTGTTCATGCAAGTCCTCCTCTCCACTTCTTGTCATCACTTATGGTTCTCATCTTTTTGTTGCTTCAGGTAACATAAGCCTGAAGACTGGTTCCATGTAACTGCTTTTAATGAGGTGTCATGAAGAGGTGACCCTCTATCCCTCATCAATGCAGCAATCAGATTTAGGAACCTGCTTTTACAATGTGCTTCAAGTGGTAAAAAGACAAGGAACATAATGACAGAGACACAGACAAACAGAAAACAGGAACTAGGAAATATCCAGGTTTGGTGTTCCTGAGTGGGCAGGTGAATACTGTGAGACCACTTATGTGTATAAAAATCAATCCTTTGAATCTCCTTTCAGATAAAAATTTAAAATCAGATGCCCCTAGGGAGTTCTTATCTCTACCAGTCTCAGACTAAATGGGGGAAGATCCTGTCTCTACAAATGTTCTCACTGAATGTTTTTTCTCCAAAACCTCAGACAGCCTCTCTTACTGAGCCCTCAGACTACATCTGAGCTCTTGTCTCCTCCTGACTTATAGTCCTTCCTCTACCCATCCATGTCACTCCTGTCTCTGCCTCCCTATTGCTAGGACTAAAGACATATGATCCCAGGTGCTGGGATCACCTTTGTTTGAACTCTGTTTCTGTTTCGAGCAGATTCAATTTCTTGTAGCCCTGGTTAGGGTTTCACTCACAGAGATCCATTCAGCTCTGTCTTCTTAGTGCTGGGATTAAAGGTATGTGCCACCGTTTCCTGGCCTCTATGGCTAACTAGTGTCTTTGTTCTGCAGTCTGATCTTCAGGAAACTTTATTTGTAATATAACAAACATTATCATTACACCTGCAGGAGCTATGTTTCCATAAACCTGAACAATAAACCTGCAAACTTTAGACACAGCCATGTATTACTGTGCCAGAGAAAAAGTGAGAGATCTCCAGTGTGAGCTTGGACAGAAACCTGTATACTCAGACCAGCATGGAACACTGAGGACCAACAGGTACTCCCAGAAAGAGTGGTGGTCACTTTAGAAACTAGGAAGTTCAGGAATATGCACATTTACACTTGTTTGATGTCATATTTGTTTTTTTTCAAAGAATGAAATCTTCTAGAGTACCCTTTACTCATAATGACATATTAATCTTGCTTTTTAATTGCACACTAAACTTCTTTGTTCCCCCACAATACTCTAAGGTGTCTAATTGCCTCTTGTCAGACAAATGAGCACATTAATTATATATTTTATATATACATATATGTACATCAGATGTCTGAAATTATGACACTTGTTGATTGTAAATTTTGTAAGACAGCTTCAGAATTTTGAAAAATCATTAATTCATCCTCTTTATTTTAAACTTGTGGTAGAGAAACCACAACTTCCCTGAACTGATGCTAACTTCCACAGTTAGCTTAGAAAATGAACCATCCACAGATTTCTATTTCTAAACTAATAGGACCTTATAAAAGTGTACAATTGTTAAAATTGTTCCAAGATTTTATTTTTGAGCCTTTACATTTTGGTAAAACTGAGCTTGCACCTTGAATTCCAAGCTAATGATTTCTCTATAGACATATTGTGCAATTCAGACCACAAAATTCTCAGCACATCCCAGCAGACAACAGCTCCAGTCCCTGGTCCATCTCTCTCCAACCCTTACCACAGACAACTGAGTTCTATAATGTTCACAGTTTCTGCTTTTGTTGGTACTTTTGTTTGTTCTCAGAATTACTCCTCTGCACTCTCTGATGTTACTGACAAGAAGAGCCTGATGTCTCATATTTGAGCTAGAGAAGTGTCCTTCAGAAAAGCCGTGTTGCCTGTAGGCTCCATGTTAATGGATCATAAGCTTGAGGCAGGTTTAAAAAGGAAAAAAAAAAGAATCTTTTCCTCTGAGGCTGAGGCTTCTCTGGAAATTTACGCATAGACACCAATAGTGTGTGACAAAGCTTTGGAGACCTCATTGACTACATCCTTAGAATCCTGACAGCAGAACGCATAACCATGAATTGAATACTGCAAACAATGTTGAACCCACAGGTTCCACTGTCATATTTTCCAGGGTCAGTGTGAGGATCAGCTTACATTGTTGCTCCTGAAATGGATTAACAGGGTAAAACTCTTAATGAGTTTGTTGGGCATAAAATATTATCAGAACCAATACCTCTATTTTAATAACAAGGATTTTACATTTGACCAAAAATCTCCAGAATGTTTTATGGAGAGTCTACCAATATGAATTAAAAGATGTTACATATCTATATTAATGTAAAAAATTATTGAACAAATAGGCACAGGCAAAGTTTTCCCTCTGGAGTAGAAAAAAAGTAACAGTTGCTTATAGAGATGCCCCTGAAATTCTCTTCTCTTCAGTATGTCCTCTAATTTTTTACTGATAATATTAATAAAAAAGGGAATCTAATGTCAGAATAACTGTTATTGCAACATGAGCCCTGAAATAGTAGCAGGAATTATATGTTTTTCTCCTAATTCTGATGGATGATGAGATAATGTCACCTTAGAATAAAGTAATAGCTGAACAAATGTGAAAAGAATTTTACAAATGATACATAAAATTATCTGCAAATGGATTTTTTTAGAAATAAGTGAAGGACACCACCAGTTGGATGGGAAGATGTCGCCGATAAAGTTGCCTACCAAGTTATTTGAATCTGACCAGTGTTCCTTAATTATTTTACTTCTAAATTTATTGTTTTGAACCTCAGTTTTTTTTTGGTTTTACTATATTTCTTTATTCTTTAGGATCTCTGCATGTGGTATTTTTCCATCAAGCTCCTCCTGCATATTCTAAACATGGGCCTCTACCAACCTTACATGTATTTAAGCACAGTTAGTGCTGTCCATAGGTGCATGAGTGTGAACTCAAGCAGTGCGTTATTGCAAACATACCAGTGACCAAACCCTCAAAAAAAGTGACTATATCCCTTGTCCAGAAAAATACATTTCCAACTGCTCCTCAGTAATAAGCAGGGACAAGGAATTATCAGCACAATCTATATCAGGGTTTTAGCTGACTTGTCTCTACTTACATTTATAAAGACAAAAGCAGCCATTATGAGTTCATGATTGTCGTATCCAGAAGACAGCGTTCACAGTACACCCCCCCCCCCGTGCTCTACTCCTTCCATTTTTCCTGCCTCCTCTTCCTCCGTGTTCTCTGAGCCTTGGAGGAACTTGAATGATACTGGAAATCTTATATCGCACAACATATTGAAGATGGGGAAGGACATTTTCTGCCCTATGTAGAATCCAGATTGTATAATTGAGACTCTGTGTATGTGGTGTTTTGGCTTCTGTTTTGTAGGCTTGGAACTAGAGTGGAAGACAAGACAGGAAAAGACATCTTAAGTGAAGAACAAAAGGGAAATAACACTAGGTAATACAAGGGTTTTCATAGGAAAATTTGGGTGTAGTGAGAAAAAAAGGGCTGAGTGGGTGGAAAGCATAAAAATTTGGAAAAATAAACAGAGCCTTCTGAAAATACCAAATTGATGCCAAAGTTCTGTGTTTTTTTATAAAAATTTATTAAATGTCCCATTATGCTGACTACATAAATATGCAGACATAAAAACTGACCTAAGTCAACATGAAGGCAGCCATGTGTTGCCTGGCATCAGGTTTGGAAAAGAAAAGGCACAGTGAGGAGTAAAAGTGATCATAGGGAGAACTTCAGGATGAAAACAATGGAGTGCTGCAAATATAAATATGTCTCTATAGCAATCACTGAGAGGAAGACAGACAGCAACAAGAAATGTCTCCTTTACAAACATCCTGAGTCCTTAGGACAGGATCTCTCAGAACTGAGGAAAATTCAGAAAAATCTCATGTGTTCCTATCATAAAAATGGAGTTCCACTTAGAGGCAGATGTCATCCTACCCAAGATCCACCTCAAGAAGAAGCCATGTCCAGCAGAGACAAAGGGACAGACGGAGATAATATCTAGAAACACAGCAGTGTGGAACTTTTCAATTTCACATTGATCCTAAAGATATATGATCTGTGGAATGAAGCCTACTTGATCATAGCACAATATTTTCTATGCATATGGTGAAAAGGGAACTAAATAGTGTGTGGTGAATCCCAAAGAAGGAAAATGTGTACTCAGAGCTATGTTAATGCTTCAATTTCTGTAACTGTCATCAGTGTGTATGATGTCTTATATCTGCTCTGAGTATTGCCTTCTGCCAGGTCCAACTACAGAGCCTGTTATGGAAGGAAGATAAGCAAATAAGGCTTCTTTGTGCCCATAAAAGCTAGGCCTGCCCTGACCCTGCAGCTTTGGCTGAAGAGACTAGCTCTGGATTGCCAAATCCTCCCAGTCAGGGTTCACCACTGAACACAGGACACTCACCATGGACTTACGGCTCATATTCGTTTTCTCTGCCCTTATTTTAAAAGTTAATTCATAAAGATGAGATGCTGTGTGTTGTGTGGACATGAGAAACAGAAAAAATGTCTTCTGTGTCAGTTTTCTAACCAGAATTCTTTGTGGTTACAGGTGTCCAGTGTGAAGTGCAATTGCTGGAGTCTGGGGGAGGCTTCGTGCAGCCTGGAAAGTCCCTGAAACTCTCCTGTGCAGTTTCTGGATTCACCTTCAGTGGTTATTACATGAGCTGGGTCCGCCAGGCTCCCGGGAAGGGGCTGGAGTGGGTAGCAGCCATTAGTAATAGAGGTACCACCTACTATGCGAACTCTTTGAAGGGCCGGTTCACAATCTCCAGAGACAATAGCAAGAACATTCTGTACCTGCTAATGAGCATTCTGAGGATTGAGGACACAGCAGTGTACTTCTGTGCAAGAGACACAGTGAGTGGATGTTACTGTGACCTCAAACAAAAAACAGCGCTGTGGGATACACGGACCAGTAGGGGGCGCTGAGGGGGCTTAGAAAACTGGGTCAGAAAAGAGCTTGCTCAGAGAAGCAAGGAAGACTGGACTCCGCAGTGGCTGCACAGCCTTGGATTTTCCTTACAGGTGTAGAGTGTAGTACTCCTTGAAAGTCCAAATGTTAATTCCAATTTTTGTTTCCTGTTGTGTTGTGTGTGTTTATTTATTACAGTGTTTTTCTGTTTCCCTTTATCTTTCTGTCTACCTGTCTCTGTCTATGTCGCACTCTCTCTCCCTTTTTCTTTCCTTCTCACTCCTCACCATGTATGTGTGTGTGTGTGTGTGTGTGTTGACATATGATACATTTCTCTAATAAACTATACCACATATAGTAATACAAATTCTATCAAATTCTATGGGCCTGGATCTCAACGACTGGATAGTCTGGTTGTCTAGTGAGTCCCAGTGACTGGTCTGTCTCCATATTTCCTATACAATATGCCTGGTTGGCTACCACACCCATTTCTTTTTTTAGCTATGGATTCCGAGTTCTTTCTTTAGAACCCACTGAAGGCTCCTTGTGTGGCAAAAACATGATTTTCACAGCCCTGTTATAGTTGCTTTTAAACTTAGAATGTGCTTTTACCTGAACAAAATGCAGAACATCACACTGGTCCAAGGTGATCCTGTGTAGTGGCCAGCATCCATTCCAGAAGGAAACAAAGAAGACTATAAACTCTAAAATACACAGGTGGCTCAGAACCACATGAATCTAGAAGACCCTGTGCCATATGTTTATTTCTATGAACAATACACTACCCACACAGAAGCTTATACTCCTAATTAAAACAGTGTATTTTTTATAAAGTTCTCATTCAATGTTTTGATTAAACCCAATGGTTTAGTTCTTGTAAAGTTTATATGAAACCTTGATTAAAGTGGTAATATTTCAAAATTTTATTTCTCATATTGAATAATAAATACTGTGTTTGAAACATCACCACTTCCTGTTAAAGGTTATAACATGGCTTCTGTCATCCAAGAGAACAGCTTAATTTTTCTTTCTAGGAAAACTCATCTCTCTCATTTCCCAAGTTCTGAGAGAGTAGGTTAGCAGATAGCTCCAGGAATGCAGAGTTGAGAGCTGACATCCTCATGAGCAAACATTGTTCTGCCCTCTTCCCCTGATTGGAAGCTTCATATTGACCAGTGAAAGTGGTCAGAATAGGTAGCATAAAGTTAACATTCTGATAACCAAAGAAATGGATCTTAAACCAAAAAGAATTAGATGCCTGTAACCATTGATATGAGTGTCATTTACCCAAGGAAATAATGAGACCAACTGTTATGGGAGTAGATGGCAATGGATTCCTGTGCTGTGGAAATGGGAATGTGGTTCTACTAAGACATTATAAAAACTGTGGGTGTCCCTCAAACAATTACAAAAGATTATGTGACCCTGTAATCTCACTTCTGGATGAGCAGACAAAAGAAGATTTGGTTCAGTAATGTAGGAAATGAGGGAGGAGAAAAAAGAAAGATATGAGAGTAGGAGAGGCCAGAAATGTCAACGGAGAGAAAAAAGGGGAAGAGAGCGTAGTGGAATGAATCAATGTAATCACAGTACATTCTAAATGAGCATTGTGATTTGTTTATAAGTAGAATTATGGCAAGGTGGAAAAAGAAAATTTTCAAATAGCATAAGATATTAATATATATATATATATATATATATATATATATATATATATATATACCCATCTGCACTTGTAAGTGTGTCTTTGTGAAGGGTTGTCTCTATTGTTATATGTCTGTCTGTGCATATGTCTGGGTATCTGTATGCTGGCTTCAGAGATGCATACTTTCTCATCAAATATAAATAATTTAAATTGTGAGGGTTACCACAGCATCATCTGATCACAGATAGTTGCTCTGAGGTCAGGTGAGCAACAAGGCTGAGATTCTGGGTTAGACTTTAGGCTCAGAGACTTCCTTACCCTGAAAAAGACTCTGAAGACATCCCAGTTACAATTCTTCTTTAAGATCCCAGTGAATTCCAAAACACCAGAGGCAGAGAACACAGCTCAGCAGCCTCTACCTTCTTCTTTACAGTCTGTGACAGACACTGTTACTCATCTATGTAGTCTGTTCTTATTTTACATTTTCATTCAGGAGTGTAGTGTTGAACAAGAGTAGTGAGATTCCAGCACATGCTGTGGTTCAACTACACAGTAGTCTTGAAAAGGTCATGGAGTCCAGGCTCAGAATAGGGGTCACCAGCTGAGGGAGAAGTTTCCCTCTACTCCTTGTCCTGTTCCTTCTGTTTTCTTCATTTGCTTTGATTTATCCTATTTACCCAAATATTTTTTGAGATCCATGCTTAGTAAATTGATTCTTTACATATTCAGTTATAAGTGCTGGGCATCAAGGAAAAAGAATTTGTGGTTCCTAGTGTATTTGTTAGTAGTGCATAAATGCAGTCTTCAAAAAATATTTTATGTAGAATAATGTGATATTTAAAAGACTAAGCTAGGCTTGTAGCTCTGTGGTAGAGTGTGTTGGGACCATGTGAAATGTCTTCAGTTTAAGAACCAAACTCTCTTAAAAATAGGAATTAAGCACTTAGACAAATATCATTTCTTACTTTCAGAGACTTAAATGAGCTATTCTCATTGCTGGGAAAGGAATGTAAGTCCCCAGAATAGGAAATGCAGACCTTGAAAGAACAATAATCAACTTAAACAAAAAATCAGGATAGCCAAAACAATTCTATACAATAAAGGAACTTCCAGAGGCATTACCAGCCCTGACATTAAGCACTATTGCAGAGCTACAGTAATGAAGACAGCTTGGTCTTGGCATAAAAACAGAGACATTAACAAAGGAATCAAATTGAAGACCTGGATATTAATCCACACAGCTATGAACACCTGATTTTTGACAAAGAATTTAACACTATACAATAAAATAAAGAAACCATCTTCAACAAATAGTGCTGGCATTGTTGTATTAAATGTTACAGCTTATGGTTTACCCGCTTATTTAGGTGTCACCTCTTAGACCATATATGCTGATGCAGAGCCTCTATCAGCCCCTTCCTCTTTTTTGCTGGCTGCTCTTTCAGATTGCTGGATTGTTGAATTCGATCTCTGTTCTCCGATCAAACAAAGAATTCAAATTTGTAAGTTTACTCCTATATAAATAACCATCTAATTTCAATTCTGAACTAGTGTGGGATGTCTTAAAAAGCATTTGTGCCACACTTGGCTCCCATGTGAATTCAAACTTCACACCTACCGGGTGGACGGCCTAACAGCCTAGCGGTTCCATGGTCCAGACAGGCTTGCTTTTGCCTAAGTGTTTTTTTGTAGAATCCCTGCCATAACAGAGTTTACTGTGTGTGGCAAGTTTGAAATTTCCGAAGCCCATGCACACATGACTGCTGCATTCCCCAGATTGATTCTTTGCCATGTGATGACTTGTACGGCTTCCAGTTTCTGCTCCCTGCCCCTGGGTTCTGGGTTTCTTGCTCTGTGTATGTAATTGATTTAATTGCCTTTCATTTGTCAAGCAAGACATATTTTTCAGTATTTAAACAGTACCAAGATGAAAACTAAAAAAGTCCCAAACCATTCCTGTTGTCAACAGTTGCATTGCTTCTAGCTGCAACTCTGCAACCATGACATCTGCTGGATATAACATGTAATACATAAATCATTATGGCAGACTTCATTAACGATGTAACTTTTAGTAACTTTTTGGCTAATACTATGGATTGTGTTATGCAAAGCTTATATGACTATGACTATACTTCAGTTTATTGAGTATTAGGTTTAAGTTTTCTTCTCCATGTTCTATGATTAAGGAAGAATATGGCACTTTTAGGAATGATACAGTCTTTGCAGACTAATAATGAACATCTAATTGACAGAATTAATATCATCAAAAATCAAAGGTTACCTGAAAAAGTTAATACTATTACAGAGAAAATTAAATCTATAATTAAGTATACTAAGAAGTTATCTGAAAGAATTCATACTGTTGAATTTGTTGTCAAAAAGTCATGATAAGTTAACAAAAAAACTATCTCTCCAAGATGGCAATCTGCATGTTATTCAAGTAAAGTCCAAGAATGAAATGTTACCTTTAAAGGAGAAACTTCAGATCCTGGAATCCCATATGCAGAATGAGGACCAGAGATGAGGTGCCTCAATGAAATCATAAGAAATGTGTACAGGCCAGGAGATTCCTTCTTTACAAAAGAAAATAATAAAAAGATTTGAAATAATTAAGGAAATTATTGGAGCTGATGAACAGAGAAAGAAGCCACAAGGACAGGATTCAACATCATCAATGGCTGTCAAAGATGGCTTACCCAGCGTTTTAGTTTTTGACCCTGTAATCTACAAATCTACAAAGCATCAGGTTCTAAAGGCTCAAAAGGATCCAAAGAACATAGATGGATACTTATAAGAATGAATGATCTAAAAGAAATTAAGAAGCTGTTGAAACTTATGGCTTTCATTCCACATTTGTTAAGGAGATGATAGAGTTGGGCATCTACATTCAGGGCAACCCCACGTGATTTTTTTTTTCATTTAGTTCCAGCAGTCCTGGATGATGGACATCTATTGATATTTAAAATTTATTTCAGAGAGGGAGTCAAAATTTTGGAATAACAGTGAAAAACAAAAGGCATTAAGATGTCCCAAGATCAAATTCTTGGTGAGGGCCCTTATGTTGGCCCACAGGTTCAAGCACTTTATGAAGAAGAAATCTTGTCCCTATACCACGAAGCAGCCTTATATATTTGGGAAAAGAATCAAGAACTATGAACAAGAATTGAATCATATACCATGGTTAGACAGAGACAGAGAGAACCATTTACTTACTTTTTAAAAAGATTAAGTAAGGCTGTAACAGACCCAGAGGCTAAATGAGTACTCCTTGAATTTCTAGCTTTTGAAAATGTAGACTTAGAATCCAAAAAGATAGTTTGGCTTTTTAAGGTTAGTTCAGCACCTACGGATAAATGGGTTCTGCATACAGTG